CCCCAAAACCCCAAAACCCCAAAACCCCTACTCAAATTAAATAAATTGGAAATAATTATAATGTGGAAAAATATGAAGATGGTTGCTAATCAAGGTTATGTCAATAAGATCAATTTAAATCATGTCTAAAGTACAAATCTGATGCATTGAATATCTTTTGAAAGAAATGCGGTACAAATATAATTTCGAATCCCCAAAATATTCCTCAATCAAAATCTATCTAAAACTATATAGAAATCGAAGTATCTGAGGAAGATTTTTCTAAGAAAAATTTATTGTCTTATTTTGAATTCAAACTAGCCCAAATAAAATTTATGAAGTGGCAATATGTTGATCCAGAAAATTTGCAAGTCAAAGTCTTTGCTTTCAGATTTGAAGATAAGAGTATGGGACTCTACTAGACTGGAGAGTGAAATTATTACGATTCAAAATTTATAAGGGAAAGAAGAATGGCCATCTTATTAAGAGGAATGTAATGAAGCACTACTTCGGTACTTATTTGTTCATTGTTACCTAACAACTACAACTATGATCTACTTTTTCCTTGCAGCTTCTTCAATCATAATCCCAAAATTCTGAGGGATCAGACACTTCCTGCTAAGAGCACTCTTCCAATTTTTGCTGCTGCCTGTCTTTATATTTGGAGGAAGTTTCTGGTGGGCATTATGCTTTGATTTAAGTAGAAACCGAGGAGAAACAGATTACAGAGAAAGGCTACATCCAAGCGAAGATCCGGTTTTTATGATTTCACTCACATCCTGTTTTTCTTTGACATTCTTTTGATTTCCTTCTTATTATGATGAACAAAAAGATCTATGGTTCTGGATAGGTTACATAATCTTAATCTATCTTTTTTTATTTTGTTATTCTGTATATTATCAGGGAAGAGACAATTTGTTTGAAGTTGAATGGCTTCCTTATGTACATCCAATAACATGGGTTTTGCTGATAATCTTCTTCACAGTGATCTTCTTCCCTCTTCTATTCCTACTCAGTGGTTTCATCCCCACTCAGCCTGACTCCAATCTCGAAGATATCAACGACTTTGATATAGGATTTAAGAAAAGCAGAAGAGGATATGGGAGATGTACTGTATGGGTGGGAAGGAGGGTTAAGAAGAGGAGGAGAGAGGGGCAGGAGGGGTTGGTGGGTCAGAATGAAGGTGAGTGGGGTGGGGTGGGGGTTTGGGGGTTGGGGGGTTTTGGGGTTGTGTAGAGGAGGTTGAGAGGGTTTTGGGGTTGGGTTTTTGTGAGGATTGACGGTGGATAGTTGGATCGTTGGTATTTTAGGGTGGTAATGTTGTATTAGTGTTTAAATTCCTTTTATTGTTCTTTAGCTGCTGTGATAATTATTTTTATTTTTATTTCGATTCATTTTTGTTTAAATTTGAGTTATTAATTCATCGATTTTTAAACCCCTACTCTGAGTATTAATATTGTCTGACAACGGGTCACTTCTGATTTGGGTGAAGAGGAGTTTAGATAAACCATTTCCTAAACTAAAGATAGATATCTTATGTTTAATAATTCTCCTAATTATCGTGCATTAAAACTCTAAATTTTCCTAGAGTATTTCTCAAAGTTCATAGAAATTATTATGAACTGAAAACTATCAGATATGAGTTCTAGCATTTAGCTAATGGCTTTAGGCCTTAATTTATTAAAAAAACTATTTGCTTAGAGATAGAGGGATAAAATATCAAAGGAAAAAGAATTTAAGTAAATTTTAATGCTTTATGTGCTAAATAATAATTTAGATCTTGCATGAGCTATTTGTCAAGAGTATATCTCAAGTACAGATGATGTTCCCAATATCCAATGCAAACATGAATTCCATTCAGATTGCTTATCAGAATGGCTTAAAACAAGTCCCTTATGTCCTATCTGCAGAGAAGTTGCCGAAACAATTGATCCTCCTCGTGGTGGTCTTATTGACGTTCCACAGCATGCCTCAGCCCGGTTGTAGTCTAAGCTTGGTGCCCAAATACAGGAAATTTAGTATCAACTTGTTTATAAGTGTTGGGGTTTTGGGGTTTTGGGGTTTTGGGG